AAGTTACGTGAAAATAAGTAAACTTGCTTTTTAAAAACGAATAATGTTTAAAGAAAATTCTTACATAGCTTAAACAAGGCATAAAGGAAGAGTTTATAAGATGAAACACCCACGCCTTTATATGTGAATACACGTTCGCGCAAATATTTATCGCAGTCTAATGGTCTAAAGTGTATAAAATAACCCTAAAGGGTAATTTTAATCAAGTCTAAGGAAACAGTTGATTTTATAAAATAAAGCAGACAAAAAATTGTATTGCTTGATATAAGCTCTATTAAAATTTACATAAAAAATTCAAATACCACAATTTAAAAGAGCTCAAAAAATGCCCATAAAATAGAATGATAAAAGGATTTAAGGCAATATACCCATTGTAATGTTGACACTAAATCCTAGGGAGACTATATGCCCTACCAACTTTGAAATGGAAACTTTTCTCCGGAGTATAGCTCATTGTATTTGGGCCAAGTTCACAGGAATTAATCGAAATACTTTATATCATACTGAGGCAAATTTATCTCACGAACTGTATTTTAAATTACTTCGAGTAAAATGATCACCAGAACTCTATATTCTATAAGCACGAATCGCTATTTTCATAGTAAAGAATAAGCGTTTTGAATACATTCTGGATACAAGCACGTTCTAATAGAGTTATCGGTTTTAAAGTCAACTTGGCTTGAATAAACCTCTAAAATATTATGTACAGAGGTAATATAATGGCTAAGTGATCACTACAAATAGCCTCAGCGCCAGGAAATTGCTAAGTTAAGCAAGTTTGAAACTTATAAAAATAGGTAGGTATCTTGGTCATTTTTAAGCGAGTTATAATGGTGCTAAATTATTTTTAAAGGGAAAATGTATATGCACAAACACTCCAAATAAGATAATGATTGAATGGGGCGTAAGAATTTCTATTGAAAATTCGGTCCTCTTGGTTTTGATTACTCATTCAAAATATTATTTAAGCAAATGCTGGAAATAAAAAGTTGGAATTTCGTCGCCAAATCCCATCATTTTGGGATAGTGTAATCACATGCTAGAAAGTTAACTTTAATTGTGAATAAAAAATAATAATTTATGGAGGCCATGGTGCCCATTGAGCTAGGTCATGGAGCTAGTTTAAACAATGCTCATAGTAATAAGGAACTGAATAGAGGCAATTAACCAAACAACGCGTCCTTTACAAACAAAATTATATAAGAAAAGTGCTTGGTGACAATAAGCCTAAATGGATAGGTATTTGGTACAGTAATTACTTTATTCCGGGTCCTACTTTAACTTGAATATATATATGTATATAAGTGTGTAAATCGAAAATAAAAACTAAGAATAGAGGATGTTTGAACTTGTTTTCGCAACTTGGTCATATGGGTAGGAAGACACAGAGAAGCGTATCTTGGCTGGCTTCCATTGTATGTATGATAATGTCCAAAGTCTGACCGTGGACGTGGTATATTCCCAGACGTTTCACCGGCATCGTAGTCGGCATCGTCAGTGAGTATTCCCATTCTTAGCACCCCCCTACAACTCGTCAAAGAGACAAGTTAAGCCGATCCTTTGACCAAACGTATGCTAAACAGCTGTGGTTGCTCACCTTCTGCCCTGGATAATCACATTTCCTATATCCTCCTATCACACATTCACTGTTACAATTTTTACCGTACTCATTTAGATGTTGTGTGGTGTGCTCCTTTGAGCGGCATTCATGAAATCCCTTCACACTCCACACTGTCGTTAACACCCTCTTCACTCTTGTGCTTGGAATGTTGATCAATTTTGCCATATTGTTACGCCGTCCTCCTTCCTTAGGTCTTATCAGAGTCACCCTCTTGCTCCGTAGGATCTGTCTGCTATATCCCTGGTTCACGTATTTCACTCGACCCCTGCCACCCCATCTGTGCTACTGAAGGCGTTATTACCCCTTCCCTGAGTCTGGGTGAATAATTCGAAGCCAAAGCCTCTGAGTAAGTTTCATGGTCACTCCTTTGCTACATCAACTACGTCTCTGGTAAAACCTACTGTCACCCAACTAGCTCCAGTCTCCACCTCGCCTATCCTATTTCTATCCCTAATACCAAGTATATAAATTCCTATGACCTAGTTTCTTGTGTACCAACCCACAAATGTTGTGGTTCAACTTTGAACTTAATCAAAACAAGCAGACCCACAACATTTGTGGGCTGGCACACAAGAGACTAGGTCATAGGAAGTCAAACACTTGGTATTAGGGATAGAAATAGGATAAACACGGAGGAGACTGGAGCTGGTTGGCTGACATCGTCCATGTAGAAAAGGCGTAACCATGAGACTTACTCAGAGGCTTTAGTCTCGAATTAGTCACTCAGACCCAGAGGAGGGATAATAACGCCTCGAGTTATAGTATGGTGCTAAGAATGGCAATGCTCACTGATGATGACGACTACGATGCCGGCGAAACGTCTGGAAATGTACCACGTCCACGGTACGACTTTCGAAATTATCATGCATGCAATGGACTCCAGACTAGGTGTGTTCCTTTAGAGCTTTCTACCAATATGACCAAGTTGCAAAAACAAGGTCTAACAACCTCTATACAACAAAAGGAGACTGCGACCACATAAAAGGCCACGTCATCTTGGTCTTCATACCTTTAAGAACTAAGAATGCTTGACTGGTAGGTGTTCATAAGTAAACAAACGAATAAATTGTGTACCTGAATTCTTTTATATTAAGATTAAATATATGAAAAGACAAAATTTCATAAAATACTGACTTTTTTTTACCAATATAAAATACTTATTTTAATTACAAATCCTTGCAACCCAAAGAAAAAGTGCTGATTATTAGTTACACGGTATATACGAACATAATAAGCTATCATTTATCCATTATTAAGTGCAATAGAAGGGTCTCTTAGCAATTTCGTGCGAATTACTTATAAAAACTACCTGGATTTAAGATAGATTTTTGCTAGGCATTATATCTCAGAGATTTATCAAAATTTTAGCATGTTTGGTACCAAATAGTATGGTTTTTTGGGGACACAAACGTGATTTATTAGACTTTAAGGGAGAGTTGCATGTGCACCATACAAAAAGCATGAAGCTTTCAGGCAAAATTGCATTGGCTTAAAGAACCATGGTATCCTTTAGCTCCATTTTACTAATATTATTAAGCTGCAAATAAAATGTTCATGCAGCTCAATCCGTAAGTACTGGGTTTGGTAATAGAACATTTCGAAGTCGAGTGCAGTAAAGTTTTAAAGATTGTAACAATCGGATTGGGATTTAAAATCCTACTTCACAAAACATACTTTTTAATTTACAATAAGTATATCAAATAGTATAGCCAACAACTTTTCATCTCGTATTTCTGCAAAGAAATCTAGATTATATGAGGCTTAAAAAATCAAAATATCAAAGCAGGATAACGACGATTTATCACATTAATATGGAACTTGTTCATTATATATAGAGAGGTTTGTAAGGACCATATAAAACAATGTACATATAAATAGATTTAGGCAAAATTAATGAAGACTCGTTAGTTTTCAGAAAATGTGTTTAGAACATATAAAAGGAAGGCAAATAATAATAATTTGGCGTTTAACAAAGTCTAAGACTGATATGGCTTGAGGAAAATTATTATAAATGCGTATATATGACAAAAGTGTTCAGCAAGCTCACGTGTCTTTAGACTTAAAGGTCTGATGCAGAAAATCCTCATAGCTACTATGAAGGAGGATTCAGAATCAGGCATGCTCTACAATGTCTTCCCATTATCACATCCAAGATACACAAACTAAGTTGAGCAAACTTAAAAGGCTGAAAAAGATAGTAATCAAGATATGCCAACTTAATGTTCATATTTACGAGTTACTTTACTTTGCCTAATATCCAAAGAAAAGAAAATCCTTTTTTTACTAGTCAACTATGTCTTTAAAACAATGTAAGAAAAAGATAAACTCTAAACGCCATTGTCAAAAATTTAATTAAAATCCTCACCTCAAGAATTAATTGAGTGTCCTTTGGAATCTCCTTCATAATTGTAAGTGCCTTCTGCCATAAGGGCAGAGAAGAACAATTTGCTCTGGCCGTGTGTTTAACAATTTCTTGCATTGGCAATTGATATCGCATTATTCTTTGAACAGGCCTCATAAGATGGGAAACCACATCTTCTTTGTCACCTACGTGCAACCTCAATTCCTCAAAGTAATCTCTATATTGTTCGCCTATCAAAGCTGCTTTCCTATGATTTTCGCAGTACTTTGAATAGATAGAACGAAGGCGAGCTTGGGAATCAATAAAAAGCTTTGGTATCTTGTCAGGGTCCGATTCTACAGCTGATTGAAGACGATCCAAAAAATTTGAATGCCACTCAAACAACTGAATCCAATTTCCCCACAAAATACGCCATCGAGCTGCTAGATCATCAGGAACTGGAGGAGCATTGCTTAAAATGGACGAACAATTCAAAATTCCAGAATCGCCCCCGGTTTCGGAATTTGAACAAAATGGAGTAGATGAAATTGATACAATCGCTTTCGCGTTAGCGGCAACGGGTATATAATTTTCCTTTACAAGACGGAGAGCTCGAACATAAACTTCTTCGGAATAGACAAGCTCCAAAATGGGTTGCATTCTTTGAGATAGTGCCTTTGAAATAATTTCAGTGAACTCTATATTCTCCGCTTTCGTTATTTGTTCCATGTTTCAAAATTATGTATATCATGAAGATAATATGTGTTACAGCAGATTACTTTGTTAAAGTTAAGCTAAAGATGTAAAATGTGAATAACATTATATTAAAAATTGTGCAATCAACCACTAATTACAGATAATAATGAGCATTTTGCGGATAGACATATAAATAGCGAGTACAAACTTTGGAAACGACTTAGAAAATGTAAGTATAACGCAAAATAAAGCGCAAAAATGTATGTGCGTTTAGGAGGAAGGCTACATTTATTGTGACCATCCAAAAAGCTTTAACGTACGTATGAGGTATAAATAAAAAATAGACTTTAGTTAACTTTATAATATAAACAAAAATCCTTAGAAGGCGGTTTTTTAAAAAGGTTGTCTTAATACGAAGATCATTCAATAATTAATCCATGCATTTAGGTATAGTCAAGATTAATGTGACGTAAATATACAACATAAATAGAATGTATAAAGAGAAAAAAAGTAATAATAAGGGATAAAAATGACAGAATAATAAGATACGGTGTAAGCGGTAAAGTAAAGAATTGTTTACGTATAATGAGATAATAAAAAGCACAATAAAAAGATTTGCCTCACACAAAATAAAAGTGAAAATAAAGTTTTTAAAATTGTTTAAAACGTATTTATAAGAATATAAAATTTTTAACTAAATCAGATATTAGCTGTGTAATTTATTTTAAAAAATATACTTAATAATAGGGATTACAGGTTTCACATATATATAATATATCAGTTATTTAATTTTTGAAGAAAGCAAAATATATGAAGTATAGTTATACTTGGTTAATGTATATTATCGAAGTGACCCCTTAAATTCTCGCCAGTATCAGATCTCTAAATTTCCGCATTTCGGAATAACTATAGTTAACTTAATATAACCAATTAAAATTTTAGTCATTTTAATTAATATATTTTATAAATAGACATTAATTTATAATGATTTTATTTTAAATTTTATTATACAGGTATTTTATCTAATTGTTTGTAGGACTTTATGATATACCATGTAACGTCTATATCTTTTAGACATGTTCATTTTTCTTTATTTTTTACATGCATCTCTATGGCGTCAAATATTAGTTAATACGAGATTAATGAATATAAATTTCAATCCTGTTGGTGTGAAACTATATTTCATTTCATATTTTCTATGCACTTAACATTGTAATAGCACAAAGATCTCGAATAAATGCTAAGTTAGCCTAAAGTATTGTAGATAACTTACGCATGTTATTTCAGATATTTGTGGATGTTGTATCCAAGCTTGGTTTTCATCATAGAAATTTGATATTATGGAGGCGTTTCTACTTTGCGTACACCACTTTATTTTACACTCTAACAAGAACAATATGTATACAAGCAAGATAATGTAAACTAATAAAGTAAGAAAACACTTTGGTAGGCTATACTGATTAAATTTAATGAAGAAGTGAACATTAATTTCGTATAATGATTGTAGGGAGAATAATGTTCTTATCTAAAACCATTTAGCATAATCCGTTGCTTTAATTAGTTCTATGTTTAGAAATAAACAAACTTTAAGTTCTGCAAATAATATTTGATAAATATTCTGCCTATAAAATGTCTATAGAAAGCCAACACATGCTGACTTTATACTTAATTGTTTCTCCAATCATAGCTACAAATTAAA